CCACCTTCAGCATTCCCTGGGGGTCTTGCTGCTCCATTCCCTAGCTGTTCCGCTGCACTCCCCCAGTGCTTTGCTTTAAAAAGAAAGTAGTCACAGTTTTAATTTCTTGATGACCAATTACTCACACTATTCATTAAGGAAAGATTTCAAGAAACAAAACATCATACACACACACAGCAGGAAAGGTAAGAAAATTCTAGCCACCCAGAGGGGACTCTAGTGAACATTTTAGAATATGCTTTCTAGCCCCCGTCTCTCCTTTTTGTTCTCCCTGCTGTTGTAAAACTAGACTTTCTTCCTTGGCCTGTTTAGGCTTTCTAAGCATACTGCATCATGTACTCATTAATATGCACGCTCAGGGAGGGTGGCGTGGGGGTGGGGGGTGGGGCACAATTTAGTAGGTACTCCTCCATTCAATGACAGATGGCCGCCAAAGCCCAGCTCTGGGAGACCCCTCCTCACTCCAACCTGGCTGACCAGTGCTGCTTTCTCTCCTCCCTCCCAGGTGCTCCCAGGATGCAGTGGCCGGGCAGGTGATCTCTGAACTCTTTACCAACAGGAAGGAGAGCATCCCCCTCAAGTTTTCTGAAGATTGCCTGTACCTAAATATTTACACTCCTGCTGACTTGACCAGGAAGAACCGGCTGCCGGTAAGCAGTGGGGACCCTGGGCCCTGGCCTGTGAGCTTCACATAAGGAGGCATGAAGGCTATTACTTCATGGGATCCAGGGCTCCCTTTGGAGTCCCTGGGACATCAGTTAACTCAAAGGCTGGAGGTTCGAGACCCCTTAGTGACATCTCAGGAGAAGATCGGGTGACGTACTTTACAAAAACTAGCCACCAAAAACCTTGTGGAGCCCATTTAGACTCTGACACACAGGGGTACCAGGAGCTGGGAGCTGACTTCGTTGGATGAGTCCCAGCATCACAGTTCCCTCCTAATGGCCACCCTCCTGCACAGTGTGAGTTTTCCTCGTGGTCTCATGCAGCTAGGAGAACAAGAATATGTGGTTAGGGTTAGGCTGCTAACTGCAAGGTTAAAACCCTGCCACTCAAAACCCACCAGCCACTCCTCAGGAGAAAGACAGGGCTTTCTACTCCCATCAAGAAGTACAATCTCAGGAACTCACAAGGCAGTTCTGCCCTGTCCCAAAGGGACACTCGGTGTTGGCATCAAATTCATGGCAGTGAGTTTGGGAGCTTGAGAGACATCAATTCAAATGAAGGTGGCACTGAAGGCTGGGTGGATGACCCAGCCCTTCCTTTACAGATAAGGAAACAAGGCCCAGGAGAGGGGTGGGGGCATGGGTGTCATGCTGTGAGCTGGCTGGACAAGATCATAGTCTCCTGCTTTTCAGACCCCTGCTCTTTGAGCTGGACTGGGGCACAGAGCAGCTTCGCGACCTTTCCTTCACCAACCAACCCTTGTCCATGACTAGTCTCAGTGTCCCATAACGGAGATGGGGTGTGGGGTGTAGAGCCTGCGGCAGGGCCTTCCCTCTGCCCTTGGCCCACTTTCTGGGGAGTTTGTGGTACCTAATTTCCTGTGTTAATTTTCTTGGGCACAGGTGAGTCAGCACTTCTGGAGTAAACAGAGGCCCAGAGATGGGGCAAATTGCCAGACTTGGGCAAGAGGATGCAGACCAGGCACTGCTGGGGGCCCATACCCACAAATGCTACTTGGAGAAAGGCGGTAGGGGAGGAAAGGGTGTGAACACTGCTACCCTGGTGCTTGGGTGTAGGGGAGAATGTCTATGAACTTGGACCAAAGAGTCAGCCCTACATGTGCTTTGTGAGGTCCAAAGAGGTGGAGACAAAGGGCTCACTCATTCCGTCTTCTAGCGTTAACTTCGTGCCCTTCATAAAAGGAGCCCTGGGGGTCCAGCGATTGTGTGCTGGGCTGCTGACTGCAAGGTCAAACAGTTTGAAACCACCAGGCACTCCTGGAGAGAAAGCTGAGGTTTACAGCTCTGTGTGTGTGTGTGTGTGTGTGTGTGTATTGTTTTATTGGAGGCTCCTCCAAGGGGCCTTTACTCTTGTAAAGAATCACAGTCTTGGAAACTCACAGAGGCAGTTCTACCCTGTCCTATAGGGTCCTATGAGTCATCATCAACTTGATGGTGGTGAGTTTAGTTTAGATTTTGGCTCTTCCTATGGTGGAAACCAATTAATGGGTACAGAGCACAAATCCACTCAGAGATGGTGCAGGGAAAAATCCTGGGGAATCTACTGTTTGAAAAAATAAGATAATGAAAAGCCCGATGGACATGGTTCTATCTGACAGGCACAGGGTCACCATGATTGGGGTCCACTCTGCCACAACTGGTTGGCTGGCTGCTATCTACATAGTTAGTCTCAGGGGTAGGGCAAGAATCTTCCCAGCTGCGCTGGCTGGACATACAGCTTTTCAGCAAATTATTGCAACCTGTTCTGGGAACCAGGATCCCTGGTGGGGGGATGGGTTATATATGAGGCTGAGTTGGGCTCTGAGGCTCAGCCTTCACTGTACTTTCAGACTGACTTCTGGCAGTTGGCAGTGACTGGAGGTGTGTGAGAAACAGGGCTCTAGGAACCCAGAGGCAGTAAAGACTAGTTATGGACACAGGTTCTGGAACCATAGGATGTGGGTTCAAGTCTTGAGTTTGCCTCTTACAAGTCAAGAAAAGGAAAAAACAAACCATGCATCAAGTTGATCGCAATTTATAGCAACCCTCTAGGACAGGGTCCAACTGTCCCATGGAATCTTTAAGGCTGTAGATCTGTGGGAAACAGACTGCCACTTCTCGTTCCTGCAAATCAATTGTTGGGTCCAAACTGCCAATTGTGAGGTTAGCAGTACAGTGCTTCAATCATTGTACCAATTGAGCACCCTTCTAGTTGAGATCACCAAAAACCCCAACAAAACAAACAAAAACAACCCCAAACCCATTGTCATCAACTCAATTCCAACTCACAGTGACCCCTATGGAGGGTTTTTGAGGCTGTACATCTTCATGGGGGCAGATAGCTTCATTTTTCTCCCTTGGAGCAGCAGGTGAGTTTGAACCACCAACCTTCCAGTTAGTAGTCCAACGCATACCCAGCAGCACCACAGGGCAATCGCTTCCCTTCTCCAAGTCTCACAGTGGGAATCAGCACATGGGAATATGAAATGATTACTCCAACGCCCTTATCTCAGTGTGGGGCTAGATACACAAGGGGAGGGCTCATTCAACATGAGCTGGAGTTGAAAGGCAGGGCTTATAGCATTGTGGTCATTGGTTGTAGTGTGTTGAGGGGCTCCACATTCTGAGCTCTGGAGTCAGACTGCCTGGTTTCGAGCCCTGTTTCTACCTGTTCTGACTGTGTGACCTCAAACCAGTTAAGCATCTATTTTGTCTTCTCCGTGAAATGGGACAATGTTAGTATTTGCCTGATGGCTGATGTGTTGAGCATAAAATAATTTAAAGTGCTTAGCACAGTCCCCGGGAGCCCTGAGGACATAGTGGTTATGCATGGGACATCTAACCATAAGATCAGCAGTTCAGAACTACCAGCCATTGCTCCTCATGAGAAAGAGGAGGCTTTCTATTCCCATAAAGAGTTAGTCTCCAAGACTGGTCTAATAGTGATAAGTTAGTCTTATAAGAGGCTCCAATAATGTAACTGAGAGGAATTACTGAAACCCTAATGAAGGCTGAGCATGATAGTGGGACAAGAGTATAGTAAAAGGAAATAGAGGAAAGAGTTAGGAGGTAATGGGCATTTATAGAGGTCTAAATGCAGGTATGTACATATGTACATATATTTATATATGAGGATGGGGTAATGGATCTATGTGCATATATGTATACATTTAGTATTAAGGTAGCAGATGGACATTGGACCTCCACTCAGGTACTCCCTCAATGCAAGAACCCTTTGTTCTATTAAACTGACCTTCCATGATGCTGATCTTCCCAATACAATCGCTGAAGACAAATGGGTGTATAAGCAAATGTGGTGAAGAAAGCTGATGGTGCCTGGCTATCAAAAGATATAGCGTC